GGAGTAGCTGTATAGGATCCTATGAGTAGGCCACCCTGGGGCCCACATGCTTCCTTGCACGGTCATGAGATACACCCCATCCCACGGCATGCTGACCAGCCTACCCCATTGCAGCGTGGTTGCGTAGCACATCAGAGTAGCAGTGTAGTATCCTATGAGGAACTCCCCTCTGGAGCCTGTTGCATCTCCTTGCATGCTTGCAAGATCTCCACCACGTGCAAATCAGCCCCCTGCGCTGTGGCGTGATCATGCAGCACCTTGGAGTAGCTGTGTGGGGTCCTTGGAGCAGCTGCGTAGTATCCATGGAGTAGCTGTGTAGGATCCTTGGAGCAGCTGTGTAGCATCCTATGAGGAAGCACAGCGGGTGCCCCACGTCACATTGCAGGGGGTCACGGCAGGCTCAGTCTACGTGAGGAGAGCCCCCGGGGGGGTGACTGTAAACCCTGAGTAAGGTGTGAGTAGAGCTTGCCCTCCTGCTTGCAACGTACAAGCTCTGCACCAAGCCAGGGGGCAGCCAATCTGGGGCAAAATCCCCCCAGCCCTGCCAGAATATAGTGGCATTTACATTAAAATTGAAATTTTCATTAAAAACCTTCTTTTTTGTTGCAAAATGCCTTTTTTTTGCCGAATTTATGTGGCTTTTTTCAGCGATGTTTATACACATGAACACCTTTCTAATGGATTTTTTTTGTGTTTAGTTGGGATTATTCCCCAGGCTGCAATTCCTAATACTCATTTTTCACCGTGCAAGGTGGTTGTTTCCAACCCAAAAGCCCCCAAATCTGTTGGGGTTTGTTTTTTTTTTTCCCCCAAAAGCCACCGAGGCCAGATTGCTTTTTGTAATTGGCCAAATTGATGGTTTTCCAGAGAAAAACGCATTTTGGCCCGATGCCGGGAGCGCCGCGCTGTCGCCGGCAGCTGGCTCGCGGCGCCCCTTTGTGCTGCTTATTGTGTCTTTTTGGGTCACTTTGGGCAAAACAGGGCTTTTTTTTTTTTCTCCCTCTTGAATGAGCCCTGTGTGCACAGGCGGGGGATGGGCTGGGGCCTTAAAGGCGCTGTATTTCCCTAATTATTAACCAATTCTTGCCATAATTAACTCAGAAATCTGCTGCTGCTGCTTGCCTGCCCCTGCAGGGTGCTGGCCCTTTAAGAGCGGGGAAAAAAAGCAAATTTGGGGGATAATAATTTTTTCTTTATTTGCTGCATTTTTGTTAAAAATAGGAATATAGGGGGGTTTTGACATATGCATTTGTGTGCGTTAATTTGTGAAATACGTGATTTAGGAGGAATTAAGATCAGGTGAGGAGGGAGATGAGATAAATACCCAAAAACGAGCGGTTTTGGGGTTGGGGAGGGGCAGGCGGTTTTGGAGTGGTTTGGGGGGAATCGGGGTGTGCGTGGACGTGGCACCGTGTCAGCCTAAAAACACCATTTGTGGTCGGAAAACGTGTGGGTTTTCCTTAATTGGGGAGAAATTTTCTAATCTCTTTTTCTGCCTTTTTCTCCATTTTTGACCTTTTTCTCCATTTTTGACCTTTTTCTCCATTTTTGACCTTTTTCCCAATGTCACCACTTTTCAGCTCTTTTCTCCCGGTTTTCCCCATTTTTTCCTTTCACCCCCTTTTTCCCTTTTCCCCATTTTTCTCCTCATTCCCCCTTTTTTCTTACTTTTTCTCTTTTTCCCTATGTCCCCTTTTTTCCCCCATTTTTTCCTTTTTCCCTCTTTTACCCCTTTTCCTCCTTCCCCTATCCCGCATTTTCCCATCTTTCCCTTTATCCCCCTTTTTCCCTCCTTTCCGCCTTTTCCCCATTTTTCCTTCTTTTTCCCCTTTCCCATTTTTTCTTCCATTCCCCCTCTTTTACCCCCATTTTCCCTTCCCCCACTTTTCCGCATTTTCCCCCTTCTTGCCCTTTTTTCCCCATCTTCTCCTTCTTTACCCCTTTTTTCTCCTCTTTTCTCCTCTTCTCTGTTTTCCCTCTTTTTCCCCCTTTTCGCCATTTTTCCTCTTTTTCCCCTTTTTCCCATTTTTTCCTCTTTTTCACCTTTTTCCCCTTTTCCCCTGTTTTTTCCCCTTTTCCCGTTTTTTTCCCCTTTTTTCCTCCTTTTCACATTTTTACACATTTCTTCTGCATTTTTTCCCTTTTTTACCTCCCTCTCTCCCCCTTCCCCCCCTTTCTTCCCCCTTTTTCCCTCTTTCCCCACCCTTTTTTCCCCTGTTCCCCCTCCCCCATGCACCTTTTTTGGGGTAAAATTGGGCAAAATTGGTCCAGCCCTGCAGGGGAGAATCGGGCACCCCTAATAGTGGCACAGAGGAGGGGGATTTAGGGGGGTTCAGGGCAGTTTTGGGGTGTTTTGGTGCATTTTAGGGTATCAGGGCCATGCTTTGGGGTGGTTTGGGGCAGTTTTGGGGTGTTTGGGGGCAGTTTTGGGGTTGTTTCCGGGTGTTTCAGGGCGGTGTTTTGGGGCAGCATTTCAGGGTATTTTGGGAGGTTTTGAGGGGTTTCAGCTGGGTTTTGGGGTGTTTCGGGGTGGTTTTGGGGGTATTTCAGAGCAGCATTTTTGGATGTTCCAGGGCCATATTTTGGGGTGTTTCAGGGCAGTTTGGAACGTTTCAGGGCTGTTTCAAGGTGACAATTTGGGGTGTTTCAGGGTGGCATTTGGGGGTGCTGTCACTGCATTTTTGGGGCATTTCAGCATGTTCCAGGGCAGCATTTTGGGGAGTTTTGAGGCGTTTTGGGCATTGCAGAAGTGTTTTGGGGTGTTGGGCAGTTGGGGGGTGTTCTGGAGCATCATGGTGGCATTTTGGGGTGTTTCTTTGGGGAATCAGGGCAGCTTTTTGAGGCATTTTAGGGTGTTTCTGGGCAATGTTTCAGGACAGCATTTTGGGGTCTTTCCCAGTGGCATTTTGGGGTATTTTGGGGTGTCAGGACAGTATTTTGGAGTATTTGAGAGCTTTTTGGGGTGGTGTTTTTGGGACAGCATTTTGAGATGTTTTGGGGTGTTCTGGGGCAGCATTTTGGGGCATTTTGGAGCATTTTGGGGCAGTGTTTCAGGAAAGCATTTTAGGGTATTTCTGGGTGTTCAAAGGTGGCATTTTGGGATGTTTTGGGGCACTCTAAGGTTTTTGGGGGGGGTTTTGGGGTGGTGGTTCGGGGCATTTCAGGGTGGCATTTTGGAGCATTGTGGCTTTTGGGGGCATTTTTAGGTGTTTCAGGATGGCATTTTGGGGCATTTCAGGGCATTTTGGAGCTTTGGGACCTTTAGAGGTGTTTTGGGGTGTTTCAGAAGAACATTTTGGGGTGTTCCAGGGCAGCGTTTTGAGGTGTTTTGGGACCTTTCAGAGAGTCCTGGGGCTTTGCGGCAGTGTTTTAGGATGTCATTTTGGGCTGTTTCTGGGGCTTTGGGGGCATTTCAGGGTGTTTTGGGGCATTTCAGGACATCATGGTGATGTTTTGGGGTGGCATTTTGGAGCATTTCAGGGTGGTCTTTTGGGGCATCCGGGGACATTTTGGGACATTGCAGTGGTCTTTTGGGGGGTATTTTGATGGCAATGTTGGGGGCATCTCAAGTGCTGGGACAGCATTTTGGGGTACTTTGGGGTATTTCAGGGCAGTGTTTCATGATAACATTTTGAGAAGCTTTGGAGTCTTCTAGGGCATCATTTGGGGTCTTCTAGGGCAGCATTTGGGGTGTTTTGGGATATTTCAGGTGTCTCGGTGGTGTTTGGGGATTTTTCCAGAAAGTATTTGAGGACATAGCAGGGTATTTCTGGGGATGCATTTTGGGGTGTTTTGAGGCTTTTGGCATACCATTTTGGGACGGCTTTCTGGGAGGCAACATTCTGGGATCGCTGCTCATCACCCACCTCCCTGCAGGGTCTGGGATGCTCTCACCGATGGCTTCGCCCCCCGGAGCTCCCCCCGGCCCTGGCTGCTTCCCGGGCCTGAGGCCCCCGACGGCACCGACCCCCAGGTACGGCTGCGGCCCCCCCTTGGCTCCCCAAACCCCCCTGGTCCCTGCATGACCTCCTGGCGATGCTTGACAGCTGTCAATCAGCCCCAAGGTTCAGCAACCATCCAGGCACTGCAAACTACCCAAAAGTGGTATTTTTGGGGTGCCGCAGCACCAACACAGTGGGCGTCCACATTTTGGGAGGAAAACACACTAAAACAGGCAGAATTAAGTGCTTGGTTTGGCAATCTGGTCTTTGCCAATTTGTCCCCAAGCCAGGGGTGAGGTGGTGTATTTTTTGGGGTAGAAAATAGTGTTTTCTTCGTTGTAGTGAGTTCATGCTGTGAATAGCTGCGTTTGGGTTTGTGGGAGGGCTGCAAAGATGTCCCAAAATCCACTGAATTTAACCCGTTTGGATGTTACACAACCTGGTGCTAAAGGGGGAAGAGAAGGTAAATTTCTTGGGTTATTTTCTGCTAAAAAGGTGAAATAACCTGTGAAAGGTGGTAAAAAAGAAGATACCTCCCCATCCAACATCTCCATCCAACATCTCCATCCATCACTCCCCATCCAGTGTTCCCCTCTGACATCTCCCCATCTAATGTCCCCATCCCATGTCTCCATCTGACCTCTTCCCCGTTCAGCGTCACCATCCATTGTCTCCCCATCCAACATCCCAGCATCTCCATCCAGCATCTCCAACACCTCCCCATCCAATGTCACTGTCCAATATACTAATTAAAACATCTCTCCATCCATCTCCATCCAACATCTCCATCCAAGATACCTGTACTTCTCCCTGTCCAACTTCCCAGTCCAATGTCTCCATCCAACAACTCCCCATCCAGTGTCTCCCCATCCAACATCTCTATCCATCTCCTTGCAACACCTCCCCATCCAACACTTCCCTGTCCGTCATCTCCCTCTCCAATGTCTCCAGCATCCCTGTGCAAAGTCGCTATTCAAAGTCCCATCCAACATCACTGTCCCACATTTCCCCATCCAACATCTCCATCCAGTGTCCCTGTCCAACATCTTTCCATCTAATGTTCCCATCCAATGTCTCCATCCAACGTCTCCACCCAATGCCCTCATCTAATGCCTCCCCATCCAAAGTCTCCCTGTCCAAAATGCCTATCCGATGTCTCCATCCGATGTCCCCCCATGCAAACCCCGCCATGCAGCGTGTCCCCCTGAGCCGTGGTTCCCTGGTGGCTCTCCATGTGCCAGGGCCACGGCCGTGTCTGTGTCCATGCTGGGGCCATGCCTGTGCCGTGCCGTGCCTGCGGTGCCACCAAGGCCGCCCAGCCTGTGTCTCCTGCAGCTCTGCGAGAAGGAGGAGGAGGAGGAGCTCACTGAGAGGAGTGAGCAAGACTCGGGCATCAATGAGGAGCCACTGCTGACAGCTGAGCAGGTACCCCTGGCCCCCGTGGGCACCCGCACGCCTCCGTGTCCCCCAAAAGCCAGGCTTTAGCCCCCCAGTGTGGCCTCAGCCCACCCCAGCCCCATGGCCGTGTGCTGAAAGCCCAAAAAAAGGCCAGATCCCATCATCGCGGGATGCGGGATGCGGGGCACGGAATGCAGATTCGGATGTAGAGGGAGGTGCAGGTTGTGGCTGCTGATGTGGGCTTTGGGTGCAGACGGGAACGTGGGGTGCACGTGCTGGATGCGAACGGGTGGGACGGGATGGAGGATGAAGACACGGGGGACGGAGGCAGGGTGCAGATGTGGGATGCGGGTGCCAGGTGCAGGGTGCGGATGCGGGGAAGGGGATGCGGATGCAGATGCAGGGTGTGGATGCTGGATAGAGGGTGCAGATGCAGGTGCAGATGCAAGTGCAGATGCATATGCAGGAGGAAGGGAGCAGGATGCAGATGGAGGATGAAGAGGAGGATGGAGGATGGAGGATGCAGGTGGAGGATGAGGGACGCAGTGTCCAGGGTGCCGATACAGATGGAGGATGCAGGTGCAGGGAGCAGGTTGCAGATGCGGGTGCAGGACACGGATGCAGTGTGCAGGTGCAGCTGCAGGACGTGGCTGCGGGCTGCAGGGTGTGGATGCAAGACGGAGGTAGGATGGAGGTGCCCATGGAGGACGCCGATGCCCTGCAGGTCATCGAGGAGCTGGAGGAGCTGATGCAGAGTTCGCCCGACCCTGAGGCCGACCCTGAGGTTGATGAGGACGAGGAAGAGGAGGAGGAGGAGGAGGAAACTGAGGCTGATGCTGAAGGCGAAGGCGGTGGCGGGGGCACGGAGCCCATCCTTCTGCGTGAGCTGCGTGCTTTCTCCCCTGCCTTCAACAACAACTGCTCCCATGAAGGTACAGCCAGCAAAACCCGGGCCAGGCACTTTTTGGGAGCAATTCCAACCAAATTGGACAATTGAGTCTCTCCAGGCTTCAGGGCTGGCTCGCCCCAGTGGTTACACGCTGTTTGGCCAGGAGAGGGCTCTTGGCAAAAAATGAAGCCCACGTGGATCTCGCTTTTAGTATTGCTTTAAATGCACCCGGGGTTTTGCCAAGAGCGCCATGCGTTTTGCAGAATGCCTCGAGCGTCGCGCTTTGCGCTAAATGCATTTTGCTAAATGCCCGGCGCCTTTCCCTAAAGCAGTCGGCATTTTGCAAAATGCGCCGTGCCGTTCGTTAAATATACTGTGCCTTGCGTCGGCGGTGTCGTGCACCGTCCTTTCTCCGTGCGCGCTGAGCTTTTTGCTACACTCGCCATGCATTTTGCAAAAACGCCTGGTGTGCTCTGCATTTTGCTGTTTGCATCCTGCATTTCAGGAAATGCGCTTTCTTGACAGCACCACGCCTGTGACTGAATGTGCTGGGCGCTTCACTGAGCCACGCGTGGTGCGTGTTCCTGACGGCACTGTGCATTTTGCTAAGTGTTTCACTCCCCTGAATGCACCGGTTGCCACTATACGCACTGTGCACCAGGCATTTTCCTGATTGCACCAGGCGTTTTCCTAAATACAGGGAGAATATGGTGATGCTTTTCACTAATTGCATTAGGCATTTCCCCAGGAGCACCATGCATGCTGCTAAGTGCACCATGAAGTATGCCATTTAACTGATTGCACCATGCACATGTGGTGCATTTCTCCACGTGCACTGCGCGTGCCACTAAATGCACTATACACTAGCCTCTTCACGAATGGCATGGTGCATGTCACTAATCGCCCCAAGCATTTTGCTAATTGCTCTGCGCGTTCCCCTAATTGCACAGTGCATTTCATTGATGGCACCGTGCATGTCACTAATTGCACCAGGCGATGCCGTAATTTGCTCATTTATGACACTGGGCATTTCGGTAATTGCACAATGTATTTATTTATTGGTGGTCCAATAAATGCACCGGGCATCTCATTAATCACATGATGCATTTTAACAGTTTCAGTGTGCATTTCACTAATTGTGCTGTGCATTTCATTAATTGCCCTGGGAATTTCACTAGATGTAGTGTGCATTCACTTGCACCATGCATGTCACTAATTGCACAGGCGTATCACTAACTTCCCGGGATGCGCCAGTAGTTGCATTGTGCATATCACTAATCGCACCAGGCATGTTACTAATTGCACCAGGCATGCAACTAGTTGCATCAGGTGTTTCAGTCATGCACAATCCATTCCAGTGATTGTTCCAGGCATGTCAGTAATTATATCAGGCATTTTACTAATTGCACCAGGAATGACACTAACTGCACCAGGAATGTCGCTAATTGCACTATGCATGTCGCTAATTGCACTATGCATTTCACTAATTGCACCGAGCATTTCATTTATTGCACTGTGCATTTCACTAATTGCACTGGGCATCCCACTAATTGTACTGGGCGTTTCCCTAGTTGCAGCGTGCATTGCACTTACCATTGCACTGCATAGGGTGCCTCACCAGTTGCTCCAGGCAGCCAAATAATCGCCCTGTGCATCTTAATAATTGCAGTGTGCATCTCACCAACTGCACGAAGCATTTTGCAAACCTTAGGGTGCCGTTCCCTAATTGCACCATGCACATCAGTGAATGCACTGGGCACGTAACTGGTTGCAACGGGCATTTCAGTAATTGCTCCAGGCATATGACTAGTTGCACTGGGCATTGCTCTGATTGCACTGGGCATTTCACTTACTGCACTGGGCTTTGCTCTGATTGCACTGGGCATTGCACTTACTGCACTGGGCATTGCACTTATTGCACTGTGCATTGCACTTACTGCACCAAGCATTTCACTTCCTGCAAGTGCATTTCATTTATTGCACTGGGCATTGCGCTAATTGCACTGGGCATTGCTTTTACTGCACTGTGCATTGCACTTATTGCACTGAGCATTGCACTTACTGCACTGGGCTTTGCTCTGATTGCACTGGGCATTGCGCTAATTGCACTGGGCATTGCGCTAATTGCACTGGGCATTGCGCTAATTGCACTGGGCATTGCGCTAATTGCACTGGGCATTGCGCTAATTGCACTGGGCATTGCGCTAATTGCACTGGGCATTGCGCTAATTGCACTGGGCATTGCGCTAATTGCACTGGGCATTGCGCTAATTGCACTGGGCATTGCGCTAATTGCACTGGGCATTGCGCTAATTGCACTGGGCATTGCGCTAATTGCACTGGGCATTGCGCTAATTGCACTGGGCATTGCGCTAATTGCACTGGGCATTGCGCTAATTGCACTGGGCATTGCTCTGATTGCACTGGGCATTTCATTTATTGCGCCGAGCATTTAACTTACTGCAAGTGCATTTCATTTATTGCCCTGGGCGTTGCACTTACTGCACCGACCATTTAACGTACTGCACTGCGCATTGCACTTACTGAGCCGGGTGTTTCACCAATTGCACCGGGGCAGCCCCCGAATTGCCCCGGGCATCTTCGTAATTGCACCGCGCCCGTCTCTAAGGGCAGGGTGCATCTCCCCGTGGGCCCGCGCCCGTCTCTAACCGGGACGCCTGGGCGGCAGGGCTGGGGCGGCTCTCGGCGCGGGAGCTGGCGG